TGTGCTGCATCTCACAATACCTAAGCTTGAGGGCTGTCTTGGAACTTCTAGGAGGTGGTGTAAGGCCCCAGGAGGGAGAGCCATTCTTGCTGACACCATCGTTTCCCCCAGACTTAGATCTCCTCAGGTTAGCATTTCCTGGACTTTCCTCTGCCTCCACACCTGAGAAGCATGAGACCCACCTTCCACATAGTGGCGCAGTGAGGTTTCTAGGATGGCCAGACAAGTGGCTTGTAAGAGCTCTTTGGGGGGAATTCTGTTCACTGTCCTCTGAGAGGTGTGACACTCACTAGTTTAGCCTGCCCCTTATTATAAAATCCCACGCATCTTGCGGCTTCACTAGCATCCATGCTGGTTATTCTCCTTCATGAACTTGTTGAGGTCCCTCCCCCTAATACACACTCTACCCAACCCACTCTTTTTTTTTTTTCCAACCCCTCTACCCAACCCACTCTTTTTTTTTTTTCCAACCCACTCTTTACCTACTCTTCTTTGCCTTTCTCTGTGCCCTGTGAGGCCAAGCTGCCCAACTGCACTGCCTGTTGGCAAGAGATGGGGAGCTGGGAGATATTGGTCTGGTGCCACCACACCCACTTTCAGCACACCATGGATAGCAGTGGCTACTTCTCCCTGCCCACTAGTGGCCCTCATCCACTGCCCCAGTGTTCTCCTTATAACACCATTTCCTCCCCCTTTCAGCACCAGGAGTGGTCAGAGTTTCCAATTGTTACCAGACTCCAGATGTTTTAAGATCCATCCTGCCACCCCTACCCTGTACTGCCAATTGAACCCAGGGGTTTTGCACTAAGTCACATCCCCTATCCTTCTTTTATTTTGAGACAGGGTCTCAATAAGTTGCTAAATTGCCCAGGTTGAGTTTGAACTTGCAATGCTGTCTCAGCTTCCCAGTGCTAGGATTAGTTTGTGCTACCTGGCCTTCTTTCTCTAACTCTACCCAACACTTTTCTAAAGAGTTTCACTATTAAGTTCTTTTCTTTGAAACACCTGGGTAGAAACTTCCCTGCTGGTGGCCACTTGACCCATTCATAGGTCACTGGACAAATAGAAACACTTTCATATTTAATAGTTATCAATTATAAGATACATCTGGCCTTTACAAATGATAAATAATCAAAATGTATGACTTCTATAATGAAGTGAAGGTGAATCTATTCAGGCATGATGGATAAATGTCAGTTCATCATTAAGAAGTCAAATTTGCTCCTGACCTTTCAAGGGTGACAGAGCAGTAGGTTTAAGGTCAGATGAGATGGCTTTGAGTTCAGCTTCTGACACCCAGGCACAGGCTGAAAGATCTGGAGACAGTTGCTCTATCACTGTTCTTTCTTTGGCAATTCAATTGCCAAAGAATTGCCCATACTTCAGCAATCCAGATTATCCAAAGTGCTGTCCACACCCGTCGTGGGTATGTTGTGTGTGAGGACAACAGAGGCCATCTGTGGGAAAGGGCTTCAGGAATGTCCAGTGCCTGGATTCTGAGGACAGTGCAGCCCAGAGGATGCAGCCGTTCTGAGACCCAGGTTACCTCTCCCATGCCAGATACTGACTGGGCTGCAGAGGCAAACTGGCAAAGGATGTGAAGGGTGTCCCAGTCAGCCAGAGAGGCCATGAGAGGCCAGCTCCACCCACCCTTTTGTCCCCAGCCAACACACCTCCTCCCTGCTCTCATTTGCTTGACCTCTTCCAGGAGCTGAGTGATGGTACTAGGGCTGGGGCTACTTATCTATTCAGCTGAGAACTAAGGCACACTTGTAAGAGTAAGTTAAAGCTATTGCCAAATGAAGACCCTGCTTTCCCCAGACCAATCAGAGAGGAAAACACTCCAGGGAAGGAGGGCAATGTCATGTCTACGGAGGAGCCTGATGTCAGAGAATCTCATCTGTACACTCAACTAGTCACTAACGCAATCATCAGTTTCCCTGGACAAATAACTGAATCTGTCTTTATCTGCTGCCGGGAGTAAGACTCACCTCAAACGTCTGTCGTGAGGATTAGGTGCTACAATCACTTGTTTTTTTTCTTTTTTCTTATTTAACAAAGTAGGTCCTATACTCTGGTTTCTCTTCAGATCGTATAAATCTTTTCGCCTTTTAAATTAGGTCCTTAGTAAATGTTCATCTTTTTGTTCTTATCATTAATTATTCTTGGGATTCAAAGGGCCCCGGCTAACTCAGTGACCCCAGAATAGATCCCTAGCAACAGGGGTTCACTGAGCTGGGCCTGGGGGCTGCGTTCTTTTTCTGGAGCAGGTAGCTCTACAGTCAATAGCCAAGGCAGGGGGAGGCCAGTCTCCAGGCAGCACGGGGGTGGGGGTACCCCTGAGCCTGGCGCTCAAGGACAGAAAGGTGAGGACAGGTTGCAGAACACAGGCCTCCCGCAGGCAGACAAATCCAGCCTGAGGTCTGGAGCAGGGCAAGGCCTGGATCAAAGCGATCCCGAAGCAGGCCGGGGCGCACCAAAGGGAGGACAGCCACTTGCATCAGCACAGATTCCGTGATGCTCTGCAGACGTCTGGGGGCTGCTGGGCTTTACGGGAACCCACAAGAAAGGAAAGGACCCGGGGAGCGGGCAACGCGGGGGCGGGAGCGAGTGCGAGGGCGCGCTCGCCCGCAGGCGCGCTCCCGGCGGCGCCTGCCAGAGGCTGGGCGCGCCCGGGACGGAGGAGGCCGCGAAGGAAGCTCCTGTTCCCCTTCCCCCTCCTTTTCCCCCGTGTTACTGGAAGGACTGTGTGGGAGAGACCCAGTGGCACCCGGATTTTCGAGCGCACGATGGGGGAGGGTGGGGCAGCAGCTGCTGCTCAAAGGAAAACCAAAAGTGTGTCTGTTCGCGCCTCTCCAACACGCTGCTGCTCTGGGCAGGGCCCTGCGCGCCCCGGCCGCGCCCCCCTTTGCAGCCCCTCCAAGACCTCGCTGGCGTGGCCGAGGGCCTGCGTGGTGCGGGGAGGGAACTGGGAGGCGAGTAGGAAAGTGTCACGATTTCTTCCTTTGTGCCCTGCCCCCCTTCCCACCCCCAGTTTTCTGGGTTTTGCCGCTGCCGCTCGGGCAGGGCTGATCCGTTTTGCGTCAAAGGACTGCATTTACTCAGTCCTGCTGGGAGAGGCGCGTAAACACCCAGGCAGGCTAGGACGCAAGGATGAAAAAAAGCCAAGCACCCACGGCTGGCGCGCGCGTCCACCGACCCCACACCCCTCGCCCGGGCCCGCGCAGTTGCAGGCTCTGCTGGGAGGACAATGGCGGAGGTGTGAAGGGTCAGGCCGGCCTCACCCCGCCGCGCGCGCACGTCCTTGGGGATGGAGCTCAGAACAGAATGTGTTTTATAACTGTAAACAATGACCCCGAGTATTGTTTGGGATTACCGTATCTTGGGGCCCTTGGGGCGGCCAGATGCCGCCAGCCGTCCCGGAAACGCCAGCGCTTTATATAGAGCCCCGGGAAAGCTTCGAGTTCCCGGCTTTATTATTTTTTTCCAAGTTACGCCTCCACTTCGCAGATAAGGAAACTGAGGACTGGAACTGTGTGTGTTAAGAGCGCGTAGTGCTGCACAGTCCGCAGTGAAATCCCAACAACGTATCTTTTCCGTTTGGCCCTCCTAAGGACTCTTTCGGATACGAGTGGGGGGTAAACTGAGGCCAGCGCAGGTCCCGGACCAGAATCCCGACTCCCGGCACGGTGTGCTTCTCTGGGCACTTCTGCAGTACTGCAGCTCCACAGTAGACCGAGGCCTTAGGAGGTCAGATCTGAAACCCTTCATTATGCAGCAGGAAAGTGAGATTCAGGTTAATGCACCCGCCCCAGCGCTCACAGCTCGTAAACAGCACAGCCCGCGTCCAACTCCACGGCCTGTGCTCTTCACCCAACGCGCGTCCCCTCCCCGCGGGGCGCAGACCCGGGTCCTGCTGCGCGCGCCCTGAACTTCGCTCCCAAACAGCTGAAGACAGCTCGGGCACACCCTCGCTGGCCTCCCTCCTCCCTGTGTCGTTGTTGTTGTTTTAATTGTAACATTAACAGCGTGGACACGGCTTATAAGGCCCGACTGGCCCTATTAGCTGCGTTCTAAATGCCTGTTCTAGAGGGCGGCCAGAATGTCTTGATGTGAATTCTGTCTTCAAAGCTACCCCTAACAAATGAATTGTAGGATCGAAAAAAAATTACACACACAAAAGGGAAGCAGTGGGCAGCGGGCAGCGGAGAGAAAAATAGGCAGGCCTGCCCCGCCTGGTGGCGCCGCGCCGCACCCAGCCGAGGGCCGTCCGCAGGGCGGCGCGGTACCCTGTGCGCCCAGGGCGCCCGCTGCACCCGCCGGCGCCGCGGAGGGTGCGGACGACCGCGCAAGGCCGCGCCCTCCCTGCGAGCGGCTCTGCGCGCTGGGCTCCTGGCCTCGCGGTGGCGCCGCGCTGAGCCGCGCGTCTCGGCCTCAGGACTGTGATTGTTTTCTAAAGCCCGAGTCGAGGCCGCGCGGCCGCTCTCGGGGCCCCGCCCCGCGCCCCTTCCCGAGGCGGGGGGAGGCCGCGGCGCGCCGGGGAGCGGGCGAGGGAATCCCTCTCCCTCCACGTCACCCGAAAGCGAGGAACCCCGCACTCGCGTCCTCTAACGCAAATGACCATCTTTGGCAACGTGAGCCAATGGAACAGACCAAGGGCGCGGGGCCCGGAGGGGTGCGAAGGGCCAGGGCTACCTTGGCTCCCCCAAACCGCGCGAGCCTCCCGCTTCCACCCTCGCTGCCGCCTTTCCTCCGCGCGCGGGCTGCGCGGCTGGCGTCAGCGCGGCAGCTAGCCGGCCGGGAGGGAGCGTTGCGCCCGCCTCCTCCCTCCCCCTCCCGCGCTCTTCCTCCTCCTCCTCCCTCCCCCCCCCGCGCTCCTCCCTGCGAGGTGGAGTCTGGGGTTGACGTGAGTGAATCCATGTGGTAGGGGCTGGGGAATAAAGAGTGTGGAGTTGAACTCGTGCCATTGTAGTGACTCATCTCGGGCAGAGCGCAGGGGCTCCGAGTGAACCAGCGAGCGAGCGGTGCTCGGCGGGGACCGAGAGGCGGAGAGGGAGGGAGAGGCGCGGACCGCGAGGCGGGCCGTCCGGGAGCGGACGCCGGCGAGAGGTGCAGGAGGGCGCGGGGCGCCGGGCGCGTCCCTCTCAGCCCGCGCTGCTCGAGCCCAGCGGCCGCTGTCCCGCGGGCACGCTCGGATCCCCACACGGGCGCACGCCGCCCTCAAGTGTCCGAGCCGCTCCGAAACTCCGGCGGCGAGCCGGCCACAGGAAGTTTATTCTCGGGCTCCTTTCTAAAAGGAGGAAACAGAAGTTTCTCCAAGGCGCCAGCCTTTCTTTTCGCCTTTTTTGGCCCTGTCTGCAATCCGGCGACCCCAGATCTGACAGGCGAGGCTTGCCGGGCTCCGATTCAGTTTTCATTTCCAATTTTTCTTTGGGTCTTCGGTCGCCGCTCAGCTCCGGCTGCGCGCGGGGGCGGGAGGGTGCGCTCAAGGGAGGGACCGAGGGACCGGCGACTTTTTAGAGGGAGGGAGCCGGTGGACAACTGGTCCCGCGGAGCTCTCAGAGCAGGAACGAAGTGCCGTGCGAGACGCTGGGGGACACTTCCCGGGTGTCGCCACTTCCCGGCCCGCGCCTGCCGTTGTGGGGGAAAGTCCGGGAGCGAGGACCGCGGCCGGCGGAGCGGCGAGCTCGCAGCACCCTGAGCGCGGCCGCGGCGAGGGCGGGGAAGAAAAACACCCTGTTTCCTCTCCGGCCCCCACCGCGGATCATGTACCAGGATTATCCCGGGAACTTTGACACCTCGTCCCGGGGCAGCAGCGGCTCTCCTGCGCACGCCGAGTCCTACTCCAGCGGCGGCGGCCAGCAGGTAGGTGCGGGCCGTGGGTGCACCTGGTGGCGCGCGCTGACTCCCGCGCCCTCCTCGCCGCCACTGCCTCCGGCTCGCTTGCTTCTCTCTTCTTGGCTTGGCAACAACAAAGCTAGGGGCCACTGTTGTAAGTTGTGGATTTTTGCCCTGCTCCGCCCCACCCACCCTAGCACTTTTTTTTTTTTTAACTAAACTAGGCAGTGGGCTTGAAGGACCAACAAACCCTTCACTATTCAGAAAAGCTCCTGGAATTACAAGTCCTCGCCCAGGAGCCTCTTCTCTACTTCCAGGACCCCACCTTTTGCCTTCCTTCATCTCCACGATGGACAGAGAAGGCAATCTTTGCACCCACTAATCCTTCCCAGCAACCCTGTTACTGGGCAAAGCCCTCTCCCTCTCTTCTGGCCACCATCAGTCAGCTCATTTCTGAAAAATATGGGGGACACAGAAACATGGTTGGGCTGCTTCAAATAATGGGGAGTGATGGGGAGGTTTGCCTCTGGGAATCAGGTGCGAAGGTCAGGAAAGAGGCCGGCTTTGATTGGCTGCTGCTGCCCGCCTGCCCACGTCAATTTCCTGTAAGGGTCGAGGCAAGAGCCTGAATTGCTCTGGGAGCAGCTCCTTGAAGATCTGGGGGTAGCTGGGCAGGAAGGCCGGCAGAGAGAAGTAAGGGAAAGAGACATCACTTGTTCTCCTGGGTGGTTCTGGAAACAGAAAAACAACTGCTTTCTAAAGCAGCCGAACTGGTTTCCACCGGAGGGATTGTGCCTGCAATCCGTATGTCTGTGGGGTGGGTTTCACAGCTGTGACTTACCCACCCCCCTCTGTCTTGTGAAGGAGCTGGGTTAGCACTCAGAGCCCTCTGCAACCCAAATCCTACCCTGCTCCATCAGGTGGTAGCCTTGGCCTCTAGAAACCAGCCAGCCAGGACGGTTTGGGGTGGGCCTGTGGGAAGGGGTGGACCTAGCTGGAGAACAGAATGTGAACATGGCTCTTTATTGGATCTGAAGAGGAATACCTGTTTCAAAGTGATTCTTCCTACCGGGTGAGTCTCCTAAATGGCTTCCCTGTGTCTCTCCTCTATAGCTGCCATCCACAGCCCTGCCCCTATACTGCCCAAGCACCCTCTGTGCTGAAGGCCTAGTCTGGGCATTGAGTATGCGCCCCTAAAAGGAGTGCCGCTGTGATGAGTTTAAAATCTCACACGAAAAGTTCATTATGTTTGTTTCCTGGCCCAGTTGGTGGTTTGTGTTGGCTTCAAACATCATTAATTAATGGGTTAGGATGGTTTATATCCATTCCCTCACTTTCCAATTCAGCAAAACTCAACCTCTACTCTCCTCCTCCTGGAATCAGAAAGCGATCTTTGGACTTCTCTTTTCTTTTCCCTAACACATCTGAGACCGTAATCCTTGAAAGTAGAGTCTCATTGCCTTGCTTTGCTCAGACTCTGGAGCCTGGATGGGAAGTCAGACCGGACATCAGTGCCCTGACTGAATAATCTGTGTCACTAGGGCTTTGAGCCCAGGATGCGAGTGGAGGCGATTCCGTTTTGGAAGCAAATCAGACAGGAAACCAGTGATAGGAAGAAGGAAGAGAACTCAGTCCAGCAGAGTGTAATGGGGCCTCATTACCAAAGCAAAAAGCAGCTGTTGGCTAATTTCTAGCATGCTGTAACACATGAGGATTTTGCAATTAGCAACAATCAGCACACAGGTTCTTATGTACGCCTGCCTGTTCGGCCCAGCAGTGTGAGCAGTGGGTCTTTCAAATCAGAGGAATTGGCAAGGTAATTAATTTGCTTAGAGTTTTTCTTTTTGCCTGAACTGGGAAGGTGTTTAGGGGAGGGACAAAGGAGAGCATCCGGGAGAGTTTTTCTGTCATTGCTCTGACTTTTCACAGAATTATTCTGTGGTCCTAAGGACTGACTTCAAGGCTGTTGTTCCCCCGAAAGTTTGCTCTCTGACCTCGTCTGAGCTTGGGCTCAAGGTAACTTTATTACATACCAGATAAATCCTGTAATCACTTTATTTCTCTGAGCTACCTTTATGGGCAGACTTTTGTGGTGGTTAGTTACTGGGCTTCCTTCTTTATGGCACTGCAGTGAACCAATCAGTGTGAGACAGTTCTTGATTCTTATTTGTAGGGTCCAATATTGCAGGTAAGTTTGTTGCTTGTACAAAGAAGAGCTTTCTTCTCTCCTCTAGCCACAGAAGACAAACTGAGCACACAGCCACAGATTCCAGGGACTTGGAGAGTTGGGTGCAGGCAGCTATTTGTTAAAACCTCTCTCTGGTATAAGGGCAGGAACTTAAATCATGAAAAATATTTCCTGTTGCAGCTACAGTTTGAATCTCAAAGATTGGTCTTTGCTGATTTAGTTTTGCTAGGAACAGTTACACATACCTTCCCTTCCTGGAGTTTGTTTTGTTGTTATTTTCTCTGGCCTGTCTTTCCTAGGACAACACCTCCCAGATATATACTGTGTCTGGCTGCTTGACTGTTAGGTTTCTGGGCCCGGGCATTACGCAATCCAGCCAGTTACACAAACACAGGTCATTTCATAACTTGTTTTCATCAGCCAGGCCCCCTTTTAATGAACAAAACAAAACAAAAACAAGACCAAGAACTTTTCCAAGGCTACTATTTGTTTGTTTCTCAGATAACTTGTGAAAATAAATCAAGGGGGTATTTCCTTTTGGAATTGAGGAATATCAGACAAGCTCTCTTCTTCCTCAACCACTCTTTCTAAAACGCACGCGCGCACACACACACGCACACATGTACACACACACATACATCCACATCCACATCCACATGCACACACAAAATTCCCCGGAGTGAACTTTTGCCAACTGTACCAGGCTGGGACATTCCTCACACCAAAGAACTTTTACCAGAAATGACTGTGATTCCCAAGTCAGCCTCTATTATATCTCTCTGGTGCCCCCTACAGGACATTTTTAGAAGAACCATCTTGGGAATGTATTTTTCCAGCCCCCAAAGAGTGTCAACTTGGTTAGTTTTTGGAATTCTTAGAATTTTTCTTTTTGTTTAGGGACAGATAAATGCCATATATTTAACAGTGGTTAACTAGGAACAGCTTGACTTCAAAATGAGCTTTTTTATTTATTTTTCGTTCTAAATAAAACCTAGTTAATTTTTTTTTTTTCCTTTTTTCTGTTTTGTTGTCAATTCATTAAGGGCCAGCATCCTCAAGGCTTATTTTCTTTATGTGTTCGTATATGTGTGTGTTTGTGTGCGGGTCATTCAGAACTGGTGGGAAGATGAGAGATGTATGTTAAGGATCTGGGTGCTTTTAAATTTAATTTTATTTTTTGCCTTGATCTCACAGATGTTGCAGATTAGGAATGAACAAAATGCTATCCCAGGAATCTGTCTGTGCCACTGATTCTTGGCGATGGGAGTCATCCTCGCGTTTTTGTCACAGGGAATAGGGTGAAATAGCAGTCATGTATTGTCTGAGTGGCAGCTGAAATTTCATATCTAAAACCCTGAGTGCATTTCCATTACCGTATTTTTGCCTGTCTTATTGTTCAAGGTGAATTTAAATAAGGAAACCTGATTTTTTTTCCCTTTTCTGTCTTAACACCAACACACTAGAACTTACACATGTAAGTCACTGTTGACCCATCATCCTTGATCATTAGGAGACTGAATACCTACTTTGGTGTTGTGGCTGTGGTCAGACTCAGAAATATTTTACAATGCCTTTCTTTTAGAATTGCTTTCAACATATTCTTTTAGAAATCCTCCTTCCTAACAAACTGTTTGCCTCTGTGGGTAAATTACAGGGTTTTTTTTGTTTTTTTCAGAACCGGGGATTGAACTCAGGCCCTTGTGTTGGCCAGGGAAGCACTTATTCTACTAAGCCATCTCCCCAGCCCCTCTATGGGTAAATTAGATGTTCACAAATTCCCCAAATTAACTTTGGAAAACTAAGTCTGACCTAGGAAGTTGGGGTGACCAGACTGGGTCCAAAATAGAGTGTGACCCCAGGTTCTGTGGCTCTCACTCTTGACAATTTGCCTGGGAAACTGCCCCCTCCTCTTAACAAGGCACACCAAAGCTGGCACCTCTGGTACCAGCAGCTTTGCCATCTGTACATGTTTTTTTTGCCTCTGTTAAATAGAAATAGAGATACTGGTTTTCAAAATTAAGGAGTCTCACTTTCTGGCTTACATGTTGAAAGAAGGAAAAAATGGCATCATTACTTTGTCTCATCTGGTAACTTTTGGTGGCCACAGCATTTCACAACTATGGCAGCTGCTCTGATTGAGGTAAATATATCTGTTCCAAACCCCATTCTGTAATTCCACTCCTCAGCTTCCTGGGAGGGAGGGAGGGAGGGGGAAGATGTGAGATTTCTTAGCCCAGTCTCTCAGCTTCATTGTGTGACTGACGTCCCGTAGTTCTAGAGCAAGATGAGATGTTAGCCTTCCTATCAAGTGCAGAGCTCAGAGGATTGGTAGCAGTAGGAAAAGGTCCCCAGGACAGTGGAGTAAATTCTCTCTAGTGCTTTGGAGTGGAGTTTTTGACCAGAAGGACTCTGGGAACAAATAAACCAGGAACCCCGGAGATGGCTCCCTGTCAGCAACTCTTCTTGTTTTCTTTCTTTCCTTGTTTTTTTTTTTTTTTTTCCCAAGCAGTGAGGTGGCAGAGAATTAAGGGGTTCTTTCAAGTAAAGCTGAGAATTCAAAGGAGCTGGTGTGTTTGTATACAATAAGACTTTGGAAATCATGAGTTACTAGTGCCAATTTCCATTGTGACATAAGTGGCATTTCCTCAGAGAAGAATAAAAGCTTGGACGTCACAGTGTTGTCCAATGCGCACTCTGTGAATCTGCTTGAATTCCACACTGATGGCTTCGAATGCTTTGGAGGACATCCTGGCTTTGATAAGGATGCAGAGCTGTGGGGGAGATAGCTCGGTAGAATAAGCATCTGCCTGGCAAGCACAGGTCCTGAGTATCACAAAAAAAGAAAAAAAAAGAATACAAAGCATTTGTCTTGTATTGGTGATGAACTGCAAGGTGGCCAGCGTGGGAAACAGTAAGACAGCATTTGCTCTCACCCTTTCTCTTCCTTGTAGCCAGTCTTATTAGATGCTAGAATTTTCCTTTCCCCATCTTGGGAATCTAAAAATAGAGGAAGACCCTAGTGCTTTCCCCGACATTGCACCTGCCTTCCTGACGGGCAAATTGCAGAGTCTGCAGGGCTCATGGCATGAATGACTAGGGAACCCTGGCAAGAACCAGTCCAGTGGAGAAGGGCTGGCCAAGCAGTTGGGTCAGGAATACCAGGCATGACTTCGATGTCAAATACCATTTCTGCCTGGCTCAGGAGTCCCTGGGATAAGCCTGAGAAGTAGGGACCTAAACCCTCACTCTGAGACCATTTAGCCAAAGGCCATGGCTGTGAGCTCAGGTCTGAATTCAAAGAGTCCCCAAAGATTTTCCCAAGTTAGCAATGGATCACTGTAGGACTTCTCTAGCCTGCTGGAGTTGACACTGTGTTTCCTGCTACCTATTATGGTAAGTGGGAGGGCACGCACTACTGACAGTAGCCCGTGGCACTCCAGGGTGCTCTAGGTTGACATTTCCATTTCCATGCTCAAAGACCCACAGCACAGCTTGTAAGGGCTTGAGCTTGGGCTCAGGGTTTGGAGGTCCTAGCTGATGAAGAAGGCCCATCTCCTTGGCTTTATGGGTCAGAGAACCTGAGCCCTCCATCTCCTAGGATGGAGGTTGGCAAATGAAGTTTAATGAAGGCCCAGCATGCCTGTTTGCTTACATATTATCTATGCCTTTCCACATGATAGGATGGCAGAGCTGAGTTGTGACATAGACTGTGTGGTCCATAAAGCCTAAAATATTTGCTTTCTGGTAGCAAAGCTTACCAGATTCAGCTCTAGGAGATCTGTGGGGGCTGTTTTCTCCTTTTATAGCTATGTACCCACAAGTAGACAGGGTGACACAGTTAAAGTATTTGAAGGCTTTGCCAGGCTGGAATGCAACACAGACATCCAGCATCTTCAATCCTGTTCCTAGAGAAGGAGCCTAGTAGGGGCTGCAGTGTCTGGGGGAGCCAGCTCACCCCCCCCCCTCACTGCCTGCACATTCCTGGGACCACAGCCTGCAAAACTGCCCTGATGCTGCAGCGTGGTGAAATGTTAACTCACTCCCAGAGAACTACAGTTCATCCCCAACAGGGCATTGGCTGGTTCTTGGGCCTGTTGGCTTAGAAGAGGCCAGGCTGACTTCCACGCTCTCAGACTCCTACCCTCACCTCTTTTCTCCTATCCCAGTGTTGCTTTCTGAATGATACGTTTGGAGTTGAGACAAGGCCCATCTGCCAGTTCTAATTGAAACTTTTGTGTGTGTCTCCCAGAGAGGCATCTCTGGAGACAAAAGCCTTCTTTATCAGGCCTTAGTCCCCTCTGGGGATGGGACATTGTTTTCCTTGCAGTTTGGAGCCAGTGTGTTATCCAGATGGCTTTGCCTCCTGTCTGAAACAAGGTGTACATTCGATTCAGAGGCAGTCATTACCTCCTGCCTTGTTTTAATTGCTGTCTTGTTTTGTCTAGACCAAGCCAGTGCTGTAAGGAAGCTGGCTGATGTATACTGGGAAGTGTGTTCGGAGGACCTACAGACCTGCCGTCTCTACAGTGGGGGGACTGAGAGGCAACCCCTGTCCCTAAGTAATCTTAATCTCTCACTTTACTTCAGGTCTTTACTTGTTTCCCCAATCCTGAAACAGGTACATTTTGTTTGTTGGAGAAAGTGTTTCTTGGTGCTTTCCTGGAAGGAAAGCTGACAGCTGCCCCCGGGAGGAGAGGTCACACTTGGATCCAGGCTCTGGGTGTCCTGCGTGCACTTCAAGCCCAGAACCTGGCTCGAGGACAGACGCTGAATACCAAAGTTGGCTGTTTCCCAGGAGTGGAAGCTGACTGTTCTCCCTGGGGTCATCTAGCGTAGAGTACACAGACCCAGGTGAAGATGACGGCATGAGGATGATGGTGGTGATGACAATACCTTTCCTTTGGCACACAATCTTGTGAACATTAGAATCTCCTTGGTTTTTTTTTTTTTCTTTTTTTTTTTTAAAAACACTTTTGTCAGAACCCACCCCCCACACCAGTTACTTCAGGTCTCCCATGATAAGGCTTTCACACTGGTGTTTAGGACAAGCTTCTCAGAAGATTCTAGTGTGCAGCCAGGGTTGAGCCTCACCAGGGTGCCTTGAAGCCTATGATTATAAGTAGCTACTTATTTAATCCTCATGACAGTGCAGGGAGTTGGGCATTGGAGTTCCCCTTTCTGCCCTGGATCAGGGTCCTCAGGAACTGGCCTGGGGCAAAACCCTCCACAGCTAAGCCAGGTCTCCTGACTTCCAAGTGCAGTGTGACTTCCAGGGCCTCCCATCTAGCATCCCAAGAGAAAAGTTGCTGCCTGGGACTCAGTGCTTCTGTGTACCCTTGGCCATGCCCACTGTTGTAACGTCTCTGCCTCCTCACAACCCAACAGGCCAGGCCTGGATATTCATGTTTCCTCCTTGGAGAGCATGTCTCGCTTGGATCCTGTCTTGTTCTCCGCAAGCAGCTCTCCTTCACACACACCTGCTTCTTTTGAGTCAGCTTCTGGTAAAAAGCCCAAAGTAGTTTTGTCTTCAGAAGAACAACTCAGAATCTATCACTCTGAGCAGCTGCCCTCTGCAATCCCACAATGCACTGCACTGGGCATCTATTCTCATAGAATCCCACAATCCATTGTTCTGACAGCTCTTCTTATGAAATACTTTTTTTTTTTATTTTTATTTATTTGAGAGAGAGAGAGAGAGAGAGAGAGAGAGAGAGAGAGAGAGTGTGTGGCCAGCTCAGCCCACCAGGGGGCGGGGCTGGCTGGCATGTGGTGCTGGGGGATTGAACCGCGGTCCCTGATGCTTTGCTAAGCTTGTTCTAAGTAGGTGCTTTAGACCACTGAGCCATCTCTCCAGCCCCTGAAATACTTTTTTTAAGGTCACTCTCTTCACTGAATGCCCTTGGCTTGGAATCCCGGGGAGGTCTGGGAGGTGGGACAGCCATGTTCCACTATGCAGACTGGGGTCAGAAGAGTGCCAGAGAGGCAAGTGAGAAAGGATTCCAGCTCTGTCAACTGCAATGAGGTACTCTGAGGTTCACCTTATTTACACAGTAGGAACCCAGATGTTACCTCTCGTGACAGAGATAACAGTGGTGACCGTTGCTAATGCTTCTAATCCTACTTGGTCTGACTGGACTAGAATGGGGGATACTATAGGATTTGTGCTAATGATAACAAGATTTCATTGGGGGCCAAACAGATCTATGGGACTTCTTTGGTCTATAGGGATCTTTGGCAAGGTTGATCTGATGGATGCTATCTGAGGACAGCCGGGGCAGATGCTACTGTTTGGAGCTGGACTTTGAAGAAGAACGAAGCAATGCTAAAGAAGCTTATGTGGCACAATGTTGAGAGCTCTTCCCTCTTTGTTAGCACTGAACTGAGTTTGAATCTTGACCCCACTGCTTATTAGCTGGATGGTTTTGGATAAGTTACCTAATCTCTCAGACTAAATTTCTGCCTTGAAAATGGAGATAGTAGTCATTCTTACCCTAGAGGGAGAATTAATGAGATAATCTAGGTTGAGACATTAGCATAGTGACAGTCATTTAGTAAGTGCTACTGTTATTGATGTCATTTCATCTACCAGTATAAGGGGAAAAACCTTGGAGAACCCTTTTACAGGCGCAGACATCATCCAAGGGTGAGGATTTGCTTGGGTTCCATTGGGGCGTTTCTCCTGTGAATGGAGAGCCCTCCTCTTTCTCCCTTTTTCTCACTTGCCCAGCACGACTGTGAGGAAAGGTTGAGTCCAACTGCTGAGGAACCTGGCCCATTTTTGTTCTGCACTCCGTCATCATCTTATATTTTAAGTAGAATGCTTCCTGCAGCATGTTCCAGAGAGCTCTGCAATGTGGTCCAGGCATAAATTAAGAGCCAAGAAGAAAACTCTGAGCTGGCAGCACTAGTTTCCTGCAGACACATAGGTGGACCCAGGCAGATAGATGTGTAGATAATGGGTAGAGACACCATGTCTGGCTCAGGTGAGGTGCTGATGGAAGGACAGGGACTGTAAGAGGAAGCCTGGCTGCAGCTCGTTCTCATGGCCTTGGCTTGATGGGGTCATAGCCCCATCCTGAACCTCTCTGGAAAGTGACAAATGCAGGCACATTATGCTTCTCGGTGATGTTTATTGCTCCAAAGCTACTGGTGTGTAGATCGCCAAGTAAAGTGTCCTGAGCTAGTGTCCTGGAGAATAATTAGCAGGTGACTCAGAGGCTTCAGAGGCAAAGGTGTTGCGTCTTGTGTGAGCAGTGGGGCATCATGGGTCTTAGAAGTCAACTGGAGTACGGGAGTGTCCTCACTGGACCACTTGGGAATGGAGTCCTGAGGACCCCCGTTGGGAAGCAGATCCAAGGCCCCAGAAGTAGTCGACTCCTTCTGATCCTTGGCCATGTGGTGCCTATCCAGGACCTGCCCAGGGAAGCCCACCTGAGGTCCTGGCCTTGCGCTCCAAGCACTGACCATATTGTCTTCAGTTTTTGCCTTGTTCTGCTTGTTCCTTAGTACTCCATGTCTATTGGCTCAATCATACCTTTCTCCTCATTTCAGAAGTTCCGGGTAGATATGCCTGGCTCGGGCAGTGCCTTCATCCCCACCATCAACGCCATCACCACCAGCCAGGACCTGCAGTGGATGGTGCAGCCCACAGTGATCACCTCCATGTCCAACCCCTACTCCCGCTCACATCCATACAGCCCTCTGCCGGGCCTGGCTTCTGTCCCCGGACACATGGCCCTGCCAAGACCCGGCGTGATCAAGACCATTGGCACCACTGTGGGCCGCAGGAGGCGAGATGAGCAGGTACAGCTCAGGCCCCCAGAAAGAAGCCATGTTAATGTTGTCCCTGTGGGGCTTCAGAAGCACGGAATGTTCTTCAGCAGACTGTTGGGTAATGGGGTTAATGTTCTGGATACACCTGGGAGGCCAGGGAGCCAGATAATGAGAGGAGACAAGGCAACACCTCTGTCAGAGGTAGAGCTATGGCCTGAGTTGGGCTTGGCTTTACCATCTCACCAGTGTCCCTCAGAACAATTTGTTTCCTCAGCTGCAAAAAGGAAGCAATGGTTTCTGCCAGCTGGAACTTGATGCTCTAAGGAGATCATGTGTGGGGAAGCACACACTAGACAGAAGGTGTCAGTGGATAGGCAGTGCTGTCCTGCCTGCCTGTAGCAGCATCCTGCTCGGAGCCTTGGCAGAGGCCACAGAGTGAACCCCACTGCACCGTGGCCGTAAGCTGTTTTAGATTGGCCTTTAGCTGTCTCCAGGTGTCTGGAGCAGACCAGGCACCAGCAGGGTACCTGCAGAGTTACACTCAGGGCCGGTCCTACCCACGTCTTCCCGATCTTCCTCAGTGTCCTGAGCCTTTGACTCAAAGCAGCAGCCCACTTCAGGTGCCCGGAAATGTTTTGTATGTCCCAGAAATATAGTGACTCTGTGTAGAGCTACCTGGACAGGATCTGTCCAGCTGCATTAGCTGATGGGAGGGGCTTCAGTTTTGAAAGGGGGCTAACTTGTCAGGGAAGGAAGTCAGAAAATGTCAAGGTCTATGCTTCTAGGAACCACCTGCCAATATTCAGAAGTTCTATCACCTGCATCCGCAGTGAGCTCAGGCAGACTGAACCCCATGGTTCCTGAAAGAAAAATCAGAGCCATGCATGATTCCTGAAAGAAGGAAGGGCGTCAGAGGGGCCCCTCTGTCCTCCTTGCACATGGTGCAGCCAAGGATAGGCCCATCTGGCTGTGCTCACTTGGTGAGTGCGGGGGCAAGTCTTGACAGCTCTGAGCCAGTTCCCTGGACCCCCCTTGAAGTGCCCTTCCTGTGGGCCCATGCCACTACGAGCCCTGAGTCCCCTTGTTCAGGTGGAAATGGACCTGGAGAACTACTCCAGTTCTAGCGCAGGAACCCCTTTCCCTTCCAAACCATCCATTCTACTCTAGGACCCCAGGGGGCCACCACATGCTAATATAGGACCTTTACATGTGGTTCCCCAGGGGCGATGATGGATCCAGGGCCACCGACAAGATATGTGGAATGACAAAGATAACCAGTCCAAGGAATTGGATGGTTTTTCAGGAGCTCTGCTCCTCTGGGAACAAAGCTGTGCCTTATATCTATCCAGTACCTGTTGATGTGGGGCCATAGTGGAAGATCCATGGGGAGGTACATAGTAATAAATAGACCTCATGGTTACATGTTGAGCCACTGCCACTGGGATAGGGGCCACTCTGCCCTTGACTATTGCTTTCCATAGTTGCAGCTGTAAATATTGCAGTAGCAGTAAACATGATGTCCTTTATAAATAAGCTTCCCGCAGAGTCTTAGGTGCAAAGCTGGGTGGTTACTGATGAGCCAGATTCTCCTGGGTGCAAATGACACCATGAGACAGCCAGGATTGAGAGGAACTCTCATTGGCTAGCAGGGCAGGGAAACAAGATGTGCTCAGATCATGCTTCATTTTCTGCTGCACCTACCCTGTGCTACCTTTAGACGTTTCTATCTGGGATGGACTTGGGAAACCATCTTTTCTAATTTTCTCTCTGGAGATCATCCATAAACAAACCGAGGCCCAGAAAGGAGAAAGGCACTGTGCAGAGTTAGTAGCAAAGGCAGACCTGGAATCCACCTCTTCTACCTTCAGCCCTGGGTTCTTTTCCCACCAGGCCACCTAGCTGTACCCTAAGACAATCTGCCTGGAGAATTTCCTTCATTTTTTCAGAGGAAGGGAAAGAACCAGGAGCATTCTCTCCCATATCCAGTAAGAGCTCAGATAATCAAAGTCATGGGAAAGCATGGGCAGCTGGATCCTAGAACCTTCATGCTTAGGTTCCTAGCCCTGGGGTCTTTTCTCTGTCTCTGCCCTAACTTCCCCTGCCTGTGACCAGGAGCCAGCCTGGGGCCTTAGGGCCCTCTGGAGCCTGTCAGGGCGAGGTGACTGATGAGGCAGGGAGAGGAGGTTGTGTGTGGCTTGTGGGTGGGTCTGTGGCAGTGCTGACACACTCAAGCCGCAACCATGTTGATCTCACCGCCCCTGAACACTTCCTATGTCAACAGCTTCCATAAGTTCCTCCACCTCACCAGACAGGAGAGAGACTTCTAGAACCCAAAGTTTTCCAGGGGAAGGATGGCTAAACGTGGACCAAGGCCAGCCTTCCTCTTTTCTTTTCTGTCCCTAGCAGTGAGAGCTCTATGTGCTTGCTGGGCCTTCAGCAGGACCCTGGGAAGTTTTGGAACTAGCCCTGGTTGGCTCAGGTCAAGACAGGTTTAAGGACAGCAAGTGTTCAGGACTTTGGCCAAGTGGCCTTGTGACCTCAGCCAGGTAGACAGTCATGGGTTGTCCCTTTTGATACTGTGCCCTGCTTTGCTATTCAAAACACCACAGCAGCAGACTGCCAGGGTAGCAAAACCATCCCTGGACTGTGACCCAGACTCAGATGCTACAGTGGCCCTTGCCCTCATGGGGTGGCTGGCAGTGGAGGCAGCATCCCCCTGTGGGGATATCTTCCCTCCCCGAGTGTCTCCAGCTTTTCCCCGCTGCATCCCTTGAGGGCAGTGGCCAGGTCTTGTTCTTCTTGGACTATTCTAATCCTCTTATAGCAGTGGACACATAGAAGGTGTGCCTTGCGACCTTATAGCCAGATGGATAGGTCTTTCCTTTTCCTTGCTTTGTGCTTTGGCCCTCAGCCATCTTCTTGGGTCACTTATGTCTTAGAGGAGTATTGCGGTCACATCTCTGGGAAGCCTGTATATTTGAGCAGAGCCCTGGCCCCACTTAGTAGAGAGCAGTTCTCACCTTCTGGCTTGAGTTGCGATTGTTTCACCACCCTCGTTGTGAGAGCCAGATCCTGTGCTCTGCAAGGGAGCTCCCTTTGGTTTACCCATCAGTGTCAAGACTCTGGAACTGTGTCTTTCTCATAGAAGGTGTTCATCTGTTGAATAAATGGAAAGGGCAGCAGGACCTAGCATGCGTGGGTTATCCTCCTGCCGCGTGTCTGGTCCAGCTGAGGACCATGTCAGGCTCCTTAGAGCTGGTCTCTGAGCAGCTGGCATGTAGACCAGCAAAGTTGTCAGGAGCGGGATGGTATCCTTGGCCCTCCCTCTGGCAACAGAATATTTCTCCCAGGCGGATCTTGCCTGTGTGGGGACTCCTGGCCCAGCTACTTACCCAAATGGGGATAATGAGGCTTGTGGAGCTGGCCCAGTGCGGGGGGGGGGGGG